CAGCAGAGCCATCTTCCCGGCTGGCATGGCCTGGGACCCTGGAGGTCAGCTTTGATTCAAGGCCGGGGCACAGGCCCGGGTTGCAGGCTCCATCCCAGCGGGCGATCCAGCCGATCTGTGATCCTCATCAATGATGTTCCTCTCGGTCTCCCTCTCCCTTCCTCTCTGACATCAATAAAAATGTATTTTTTAAAAAGAAAGAAAAGGAGCCGAGGCCGGTGCGCTCAGTGGATAGAGCGCCAGCCTGCGAACTGAAGGGCCCCAGGTTCGATTCCCGTCAGGGGCATGCACCTTGGTTGCCCAGTGGGGGGTGTGCAGGAGGCAGCTGAACCTATGTTTCTAACTGTCTCTCTCTCCCTTCCTCCCTGTAAAAAAGTCAATAAAATATAAGAAAATAAAAATAAAAAAGAAAGAAAAGGAAACAGCTGCCTGAAGGGGGGACGCACAGGCCGCGTGCCCTCCGTGCGGGGCCGGAGGGGCTTCAGGACGTGGCGTGAGGTCCCCGGGGCCCAAACCCGTGTCCTGTGCAGGTGTGGGCGTGAGGCCCAGGGCCGGGAGAGTGGGCGGTCCCGGCTCCTGGCTGGGCTGGCCGCCATGGTCAGCCTGCTCAGGGCCCTGCCGGCAGCCCGGCTGGGCGTTGCGGCAGAGGAAGTGGCTCGTGGGTGGTGCCGGCTGCTCCCCATGGCGCTGAGCTGGCCGCTGGCCCGTGTGGGTCAGGAGGCCAGGTGGGCGGGGCCGGGCCTGCCTCACTCACAGCCACGTGGCCGGGCTGAGTTTGCCGAGAACCTCGCGGTGTGGCCGTCGTGTCCCGAGCAGGCCATGCGCGTCCTGCCTCTCTCCCGGCTCTGCCACTCCGGCCGCCACGTCCGGGACGCCCCGCCGGACCCGGCCGGACCCTCTCCCGCCCGCCCTCGGCACCCCCTCCGTGCAGGGGCCACGGGAGCTGAGGCTGCGCCACCTCTGGGGCCCTGAGCACGGCTGGTCTCTTCCCCGCGGGGGCGTGGCCTCCAACCCCGGGCGCCCCCCTCGCCTCTCCGGGCAGTGCATCATGGGATGCGCTCAGAAAGGGCCTGCAGAAGCCCCCAGGCCCCCTGAACCCCAGTCTGGACACGTCGGGGAGGCCCCCAGGCCTGGCTCCGCCGGCGCTGTGCCGAGGCCACTGGCGCATCGGGACCCCCGTGGCCGCCGGGCGCAGGGTGGGCGCAGGAAGCGGGGTGGCTTGGGCCTGCGTGGCCTTCTCTGCCCCCGTGGCCCGGCCTTAGGGCCTGAGCGAGTCCGGACGGAGCGGCCCCGGCTCCGGCTCCGAGCCTGCCCTGACCCGGCGGAGCTGCCTGTCCTTCCCCGGACCTGCCCCTCCCCGAGGCGCCGGCGGCAGAGAGGCAAGCGCCTTCCGCGTGGCGTGCACCACTGGCAGCGTGGGCGCGGGGCCTGGCACCGTGTCTGCCCCGCCAGAGGCAGCTCTGGGGGCCTGGGCCACGTCAGCGCTGCCCGGAGCCCCGTCCACCTCCCTCGGGCACAGCTGGGCCCGCCTGGCCCGGTCAGAACGCCGCTGGCCGCCGTGGGCAGGGGGAGCGCCCACACTGTCCACTGCCGTGGCCTCTGCCAGCCCAGAGCAAAGCTCCCTGACCACAGGGCCCAGAGGCAGGCTGGCCGCTCCCGGCCCCGAGGGCGCCATGGCCGGAGATGGTCAGAGGGTGTGGTCAGAGGGTTCCCGGCCCCCGAGGGCACCATGGCTGGAGGCTGGTCAGAGGGTGTGGTCAGAGGGGCCCTGAGGGCGCCATGGCCGGGCCCGGAGGCTGGTCAGAGGGCCCCGGCCCCGCCTGCAGGTGGGCGGTGGGACACCATTCCTTCTCGGAGGAGCCGGAGCCCAGGCTCCGGGAATTCCGGGGCAGCGGACACCCACGGCCTGGCAGCCCTGGCCCGGGCACAGGGACCTGACTGTGGCCTGAAGGTGGGCGTCCAGTGCTGGGTCAGGGGGGCGTTCCCCATTGTGAGAGGAGCACAGCCCCTGGGAAGAGAATCGTTCTCAGCTCCGCGTGGAAATTGGGTTCCAGGAGCCCGGCCGGTCAGGAGGGCAGGGCAGGTGCCCTGGGGCAGAGGGGGTGACGGTGAGGTGGGTGGAGTGAGCAGGGGTGGGGTCAGGAGGGCAGGGCAGGTGCCCTGGGGCAGAGGGGGTGACGGTGAGGTGTGAGGTGGCGGAGGAGCAGGGGGTGGAGAACCCGGACATCGCAGGCGGCTCCCTGTGCTCCCAGCAGCGAGGGGCCACTGGGGAGAGGGGCTCACCTCATCTGTGTCGCATTCGAATTGGGTCTTTTCGTGCCTTCGGTCAGCCATTGGGGGTCTGATTATCGGGTGAATGGAAGGAGGCGGGGAGGGAAGAAGGGAAGTCAGGTTCTGGGGGCTGGCTAGAAGGAGCCACAAAAGAGGAAGAGAGTGGAGGATTGACGGGGAGATGGTGGATAAATGGGAGATAGGCAGATGGACGATGGATGGATGGATGGATGGATGGACAGATGGATGGGTAGATGGATGGATGGTGGATAGATGGGAGATAGGCAGATGGATGATGGATGGATGGATGGATGGATGGACAGATGGATGGGTGGATGGATGGATGGATGGATGGACAGATGGATGGGTGGATGGATGGATGGATGGATGGTGGATGGATGGATAGATGGTGGATAGATGGAAGATAGGCATATGGATGGATGGTGGATGGATGGATGGGGGGGTAGATGGATGGATAGGCAGATAGATGGGCAGATGGATGGATGGATAAGCAGATGGATGATGGATGGATGGATAGATGATGGGTAGATGAAAGATAGGCAGATGGATGGATGAATGGGCAGATGGATGGAGGGTAGATGAATGGGTAGATGGATGGATGTATAGGTAGATGGATGGGTGGATGGGTGGGTGGATGGGTGGGTGGATGGATGGATGGGTGGGTAGATGGATGGGTGACTAAATGGATGGAAGGATGGATAGATGGATGGGTGGATGGGTATATGAATAGGTGGATGGGTAGATGGATGGTGGGGTGGATGATTAATGGATGGGGGGGCAGATGGGTTATGGGCAGGTGAGTGGGTGGGTAGAGAGATGAGTGGGTGCCTGGAGGCTGGGTAGGTGGATAGGCCAGTGGGCGGAGGGATGATGAATGGGTGAGCGATGGGTAGATGGATGGATGGATGGGTGAGTGGATGGATGGGTGAGTGGATGGATGGGTGAGTGGATGGATGGATGGTGGGTAGATGGATGGTGGGTGGATGGATGGATGGTGGATGGATGGATAGATGGATGATGGATGGATGGATGGATGGATGGTGGGTAGATGGATGGATGGATAGGTGAGTGGATGGATGGGTGGTGGATGGATGGATGGGGGGTAGATGGATGGATGGATGGGTGAGTGGAAGGATGGGTGAGTGAATGGATGGATGGGTGGATGGTGGATGGATGGATGGTGGATGGATGGATGGGAGGTAGATGGATGGATGGATGGATGGATGGGTGAGTGGAAGGATGGGTGAGTGAATGGATGGATGGGTGGATGGTGGATGGATGGATGGTGGATGGATGGATGGGAGGTAGATGGATGGATGGATGGATGGATGGATGGGTGAGTGAATGGATGGATGGGTGGATGGTGGATGGATGGATGGTGGATGGATGGATGGGGGGTAGATGGATGGATGGATGGCTGAGTGGATGGATGGGTGAGTGAATGGATGGATGGATGGATGGAGAGATGGGTGAGTAGATAGATGGATGGTGGATAGATAGATGGATGGATGGGTAGTGGGTAGATGGATGGTGGGTAGATGGATGGGTACATGGCTGTGTCATTAGCCCGCCTGGGCTCAGGCGTGGCCACTGTCAATTAGCTGTGATTTTGGGCCCAAATCCCAGCCTCTGAGGAATGCGTCCCCCCCTGCGAAATGGCCAAGGCGACAGGATGGTGGCAGGACGGACGAGGGAGCGGGGCTGGGGCTGGCCCGGCCTCGCTGCAGCCTGGAGCCCTCCCTCTGACCAGGGCAGTGGGCACAGTGGAGGCCTGGGAGCTGCTGAGGGAGCCGCCAGGCCCAGGACACCCCGTGCCACCCTGCCCATTCCCGCAGCCCCCCCCGCTGCCGCCCGCCCGCGGTCACAGGAAGGCTGTCTGCACCCGCCCACCGGCCGGCCAGGGAGAAAGTGGCCATTGTCCGGCCTGACAGGAAGCGCCAGGAGGCGGCAGGGGCAGGGCATGGCTCCGAGCACGTCCGTCCAGTGGAGTGGACAGGCCACAGGGGGACGGGTCCCCACTCCCCACACCCACAGGCGCGTCCACAGGGCCAGGCCTTTGCTCCGGAGCCGAGACTCTCCCGTCTAGGAAGCAGGCTGAGTGGTGGGGATGGGACCCTCAACTGTCCACGTTACCCCCTCCCCGCCCCGGGGGCTGGGCTGTGAGGGAGCCGGTGGGGGAGGCAGGCTGCGGGGGTGGGGGGCTCCCTCTGCTGGGCCGGGAGGGGTGGTGAGGGCTGGGCTGCGGGCGGGGAGGGAGCTCGCCCTGGAGTGAGAGCTGACTGAGCGGGCGCGGGGCACACCTGTGGGGGCCCCTGGGCCGTCTCCGCCCGGCGTTTCCCTCCCAGGAAGGGGTGGGCTGGACGGGGTGCAGGCGGGCAGGAGGCTGTCATGGCCGCTCGCCCCCGCTCTGGGTCTGCGCCCCCCGCAGGGCCAGGGCTGTTCCCCATCGCGCTCCCCCCGGGAGGGGGTGCTGGCAGGGGGGGCCCTGCCACCTCAGGGCCGTCGGGGCCAGGGTCCGCAGCCAGCCGGGGCGGGGTGGGGCCCCGGACGGACGGGCTGCGCTCTGACCTGCAGGCCCCTCTCCGAGACGCCCCTGCGTGGGACCCCTGGCCCTCAGCCTGACTCCAGGGGGGGTCCCAGCCCAGGCCTGCGCCCCCGGCTGAAGCTGCCCCCCCCCGTCCCTCCAGAGGCTGCCCAGCGCCCGGGCCATGAAGGAGGAGGCCACCCTGCGGCGCCGCCTCTCGCTCTGCCCGCCCGCCGCCCCCCCGAAGCCCGCGCCCCGGCGGCTGGCCCGCGCCCTGCTCCTCAGCGATGGCGAGAATGAGCCCGACCCCCTCAGCCCAGGTCAGCGGCCTGTTTGGGGGCTGGTCAGGGGGCTGGTCAGGGGGGGCTGGTCAGGGGGCTGGTCAGGGGGGCTGGTCAGGGGGCTGGTCAGGGGGCTGGTCGGGGGGCTGGTTGGGGGGCTGGTCAGGGGGCTGGTTTGGGGCCTGGTTGGGGTCCTCAGCCGGGGCTGTGCAGGCCGGGGCCCTCCTGCCTCCGGCCAGCTGTCTCTCGGGCAGGGGAGGGGAGCTGGGAGGTCCAGGCTGGGGGGAGGCAGTGCCACCACCTCACATGGCTCCCCCCCCAGGCTGCCTGCCCCACACGGCGGCCCCCGGGGCAGCCAGGCTGCCGCCATGCAGCTCCCCCACGGGCTCCCCCCCAGGGACGGACGGGGAGCACAACGGCCCCTCGCTGACCCGGGAGGAGGGGCCCCCGACACCCGGCTCTGCCTGGAAGCTGCCACCGGTGAGTTCCCACCCACCACGGGGACCCCATTAGAGAGCCCGGCCACGGGGACCCCATTAGAGAGCCCGGCCACGGGGACCCCGGCAGAGGGCCCGGCCACGGGGACCCCGGCAGAGAGCCCGGCCACGGGGACCCCAGCAGAGAGCCCGGCCACGGGGACCCCATTAGAGAGCCCGGCCACGGGGACCCCATTAGAGAGCCCGGCCACGGGGACCCCATTAGAGGGCCCAGCCACGGGGACCCCATTAGAGGGCCCGGCCACGGGGACTCCATTAGAGAGCCCGGCCACGGGGACCCCGGGCAGAGGGCCCGGCCACGGGTGACCCCGGGCAGAGGGCCTGGCCACGGGGACCCCGGCAGAGGGTCTGCCCAGGATAGCAGGAGGCTGAGGAGGGGACACAGGGCCCCGGACACCCTGGGGGGCCTTTCCTCCCTCTGCCGTGCCTGTGCGTCCTGCTCAGGGACTCACTCTGCAGGGGCTGCGGGGGTGGGGGGGATGCACACCCACACATACACACACACTCACACACACACATACACACTCACACACTCACATACATATCCACACACTCACACACACTCACATGCACACTCAAACACACACACACACTCACACTCACACATACACACTCACACACTCACATACATATCCACACACCCACACACACTCACATACACACTCACACACACACTCACACACACTCACACACACACTCACACACACACATACACACACACTCACATACATATCCACACACTCACACACACTCACATGCACACTCAAACACTCACACACACACACACTCACACTTGCTCATATACACACTCACATGTGCTCACACACACTCACACAGTCATACACAGTCACACACAGTCACACACACACAGTCACACACAGTCACACACAGTCACACACACACAGTCACACACACAGTCACACACACAGTCACACACAGTCACACACAGTCACACACACACAGTCACACACACAGTCACACATAGTCATACACACACAGTCACACACACTCACACACAGGCAGCCCCTCAGCGAGGCCCGTGGGGCCTGCAGCGGAGCCGTCCGTCCGGGGAGGGTGCCCAGTGTCTCCACCTGCGGTTTCAGGCCCTTCTGCCCGGTCCCGGGTCCGCACTGACCTCAGCGGGTGCCTCCGCTCCCGGCGATGGGGGGGGAGCCCAGATAGAGGCCCAGCCTCCTCCGGCCAGGCCGCCTGAGCCCCGTCCCGCCTGCGCCCCGTCCCGCCTGTGCCCCTGTTCTGCCTGCGCCCCCGTTCTGCCTGCGCCCTCGTCCTGCCTGCGCCCGGGCTTGGGGTGGTCTGCCCGTGTTGGTCTCAGAAGCAGCGGCAGCTGCCTTTGGGGTTCCCCAGCGGCCTTTGGGGTGCCCCGCCTCCGTTCCCACCGGAAGCACCTGTCTGTAGGGGTGCGTGTCAGGGTTCCCATTGTGCCCGCCCGCCGCCCCTGCCCAGCCCGCCGATGCCCGCTCCCGCCCCCCGGCCTTGCAGGCGGAGTGCCGGCTGTGCAACGGGTCCGACAGGGAGTGTGTGTCCCCCACGGCCAAGGCTGCCAGGAAGGAGACTCTCAAGGTGGGTGTGGGGGGAGGCAGGTGTGCCCTTTGGTGGGCGAATGGGCGCCTGGGCGCGAGGCCACGCCCACTGCACGCCCGCTCCCCATCCCTGTCCCTGTTCCGGGCGAACGGTGTGGGCCCAATGGGCGCCGGAGGCTGGGGGCCGGGGGCCAGGGGCTGGGGGCCGGGGGCCGGGACCCGGGGGCCGGGGGCCGGGGCCTGGGGGCCGGGGGCTGCGGACCAGGGGCCGGGGGCCGGGGGCCGGGGGCCGGGAGCTGGGGGCCGGGGGCAGGCCTGCCGTGCCCTGACCGCTGGCGGGCCGAGCAGGTGCAGAAGGAGAACTACCGGCAGGAGAAGAAGCGGGCCACCAAGCAGCTGCTCAGCGCCCTGACCGACCCCCGCGTGGTCATCATGGCCGACAGCCTGAAGGTAGGCGGGCCTCGTGGTTCCCGTCCACGTCGACCTGTGGACCAGGAGGTCAGGGGTCATTCCGGGCCAGGGCACAGGCCCGGGGTGAGGGGGAGAGGAGAGTAAACCAGACGGGGCTGGTCACCCGTGGCCGCCTTGGCCTTCTCTGTGTTGGCACAAACGGGAGCCATGGTTACCTCGAGAGGAGAAATGGCCAATTCCGAGTCTCCAAAGCGCCGGCCGCGTCGCTCCGCGGCTGAGCATCGACCTATGAACCAGGAGGTCAGGGTTCGATTCCCGCGCAGGTCACAGGCCTGGGTGCGGGCTCAGTCTCCAGTGTGGGGCGTGCAGGAGGCAGCTGATGGGTGTTCTAACTCTCCCTCTCCCTTCCTCTCTGACATCCATAAAAACTACACCCAACAGAGGGAAAGGGAAAGCCTCTGCCTGCAGCCAGAGCCCCCGCCCCTGAGCCACCCATGCTCGGCCCCAGCCTCCCGCAGACCAGGGCCCCGTGCCCGCCCTGACCCGCCCCGCCCGCAGGTCCGGGGCCCCGTGCCCGCCCTGACCCCGCCCGCCCGCCCCCGCCCGCAGGTCCGGGGCCCCGTGCCCGCCCTGACCCCGCCCGCCCCCCGCCTGCAGGTCCGGGGCCCCGTGCCCGCCCTGACCCGCCCGCCCGCCCCCCGCCCGCAGGTCCGGGGCACGCTGAAGGGCTGGACCAAGCTGTGGTGCGTGCTGAAGCCGGGCGCGCTGCTCGTCTACAAGGCGCCGGGCGCGGGCCAGTGGGTGGGCACCGTGCTGCTGCCGGGCTGCCGGCTGCTGGAGCGGCCCTCCAGGAAGGACGGCTTCTGCTTCAAGCTCTTCCACCCGCTGGACCAGTCCGTGTGGGCCCTGAAGGTGCCCGCGGGCGGGGGGCGGGGGCACGCAGGACCCGGGGAGGGGGGGGGTGGGGTGCGTCTCTCAGTGGTGTCAACGTGGTCCCCGCTCTGGGGTGGCGGCCCGTGGGGCTCAGGCCTGGTGGCCACAGGTCACGGTCACACGTGCCTGGAGGTGGAGGCGTGGGCCAAGGCGGGCGGGGCAGGGCAGGGCAGGGCAGGGTTCGGGGCTCAGGGCGCCCCCTCACACCAGGAAGCCCAGTTACATGGCTCGGACAGACATGGGTTCTTTTAGGACGAGCGTGTCCCAATATCGCTTTTAAAGGAGGTAGCTGTCACTCTGGCCAGCTCGCTCAGTGGTCGGAGCGTCGACCCGCAGACGGAGGGGCCGAGGGTGGATTCAGTCAAGGGCACGCCCTCGGTTCCGGCTCCGTCCCCCGTCCCCGTCCCCGGCGGGGCGTGCGGGAGGCAGCAGTCGATGTGTCTCTCCCATCGGTGTTTCTCTTTCCTCTCCTCCCCCCCCCTCCCCACTCTCTAAAATCCATGGGGAAGGTCCCTCCAGCGAGGATGCACCCCAAGCCCACACAGCACCGTGCTCCCTGTCTCTGAGGTCCCGGTGTAGCCGGCTCCGGCGTCGGGGGCTCAGAGCCAGCACCTCGGGGCAGAGCGCCCGCCAGCCCCCGGCCCGTGTCCGAGAGGCTGGTGACGCCCGGGTGCTTCGCTGCCCAGGTGTCGGTGACCCGGTCTGTGCCCCGCCCAGGGCCCCAGAGGCGAGAGCGTGGGCTCCATCACACAGCCCCTGCCCAGCAGCTACCTGATCTTCAGGGCGGCCTCCGAGTCCGACGGTGAGTCCGCCTGCTCAGCAGGTCCCTGCGACCCCGCGACCCCGCAACCCGGTGACCCCGCGACCCTGTGACCCCGCGACCCTGTGACCCGTGTGACCCCCGTGACCCCCGCAACCCCCGTGACCCCGTGACCTGTTGGGGGGGAGTGGGGACTGGAGTAGGGGGTGGCCCCCTGGGCCGGGCAGGGCAGCGGGGGGATGGGCAGGGCTCCGGGGGCAGGGACGCCTCGGTGAGGAGGGGGTGACGAGCCGGCTGTGGGCTCACACCCCCGCCCCCCGTCCCCCCGCCCCCCAGGCCGCTGCTGGCTGGACGCCCTGGAGCTGGCCCTGCGCTGCTCCAGCCTCCTGCGGCTCAGCCGGCCGGGCAGCGACCAGGAGGCCGGGTCCTCGCCCGACGGGTCGCCCTCCTCGCTCTGCGGGCTGCCGCCCTCGGCCGCCATCCACGGCCCGGACCTGTTCCCGTGAGTGGGGTGGGCGTGGTCAGCCCCCGAGCCCCCGGGCCCGCACGCCTGGGCGGGGGCAGACGCCACGGGCGTGCTGGGCACGGACACGGCGCCGAGGGGCCGGGGGCCTGGCGCCCCTGTGACCCGGCCGGTGGCGCGCGCTGCTGCCCGGGCCCGGCCCCGTGCCGGCCCGGCTCAGCCTGAGCGTCCCCCCGGGAGCCAGGGTCAGGCCCAGCCGCTGCGGCTCCCCGTGGGGCGTGCAGCCTCCCTCCCCCTCCCTTCCTCTGGAATTAACTAATATTAAAAAATACACGAGCCCGGTGGGGAGTTCCCGAGGTGGGGTGCCGGGTGGGGTGCCGGGTGGGGTGCCTGGGGTGGAGTGCCAGGGGTGGGGTGCCGGGGGTAAGATGCCTGGGTGGGGTGCCGGGTGGGGTGCCCAGGGTGGGGTGTCTGGGGTGAAGTGCCCAGGTGGGGGTGCCAGCGTGGGGTGCCGGGATGGGGTGCCGGGGGTAAGGTGCCCGGGTGGGGTGCCAGGGTAAGGTGCCGGGTGGGTGCAGGGTGGGGTGCGGGTGGGTGCCGGGGTAAGGTGCCGGGCGGGGTACCAGGGTAAGGTGCCGGGTGGGTGCCGGGTGGGGTGCGGGTGGGTGCCGGGGTAAGGTGCCGGGTGGGTGCCGGGGTAAGGTGCCAGGGTAAGGTGCAGGGGTAAGGTGCCGGGGTAAGGTGCCGGGGTAAGGTGCCGGGGTAAGGTGCCGGGGGTAAGGTGCCGGTGGCTGCCGCAGGCTGAACGGGTCGGCCCTGGAGAACGACGCCTTCTCGGACCGGTCGGAGCGGGAGGCGGGCGAGGACTCGGGGCCCGAGGCCCCGGACCTCAGCCCGAGGCCCCGCGGCAGCGGCAGCGACCTGTCCGAGGCCCCCGGCGCCCCCGCCCCTCGGGGGACCACGTACGTGGAGCAGCCCCACGAGGAGCTGGGGGAGGTGAGAGCTGCCCCGAGCCCCACCCGACCCCCCTCAGCGCCCCCACCCCCAGGCCGCCCGGGGTCCCCGAGGAGAGGCAGGGCCCTGGGGCTGGGAGCAGGGATGGGGGGGGGAGCCGGGAGCAGGGACAGGGGGGCCGGGAGCAGGGACAGGGGGGCCGGGAGCAGAGACTCGGGGGGCTGGGAGCAGGGACAGGGGGGCCGGGAGCAGAGACTCGGGGGGCTGGGAGCAGGGCCGGGGGGCCGGGAGCAGAGACTCGGGGGGCTGGGAGCAGGGACGGGGGGTCGGGAGCAGGAACAGGGGGGCCGGGAGCAGAGACTCAGGGGGCTGGGAGCAGGGACTGGGGGCCGGGAACAGGGCCGGGGGGCCGGGAGCAGAGACTCGGGGAGGCTGGGAGCAGGGGCTCGGGGGGGGGGCTGGGAGCAGAGACTCGGTGGGGGGGGGGCTGGGAGCAGAGCCGGGGGCCGGGAGCTGGCGAGGGCTCCGGGCTGGAGCTGAGGATGTGGGGGGCCAGGTGGGCTGCGCGGGGGCAGCCCGTGGGCAGGGAGGGGGCAGCAGTGTGAGGGGCTGGGCCTGGGCGGAGACAGCGGGAGAGGGTCCCCGGCCGCCCTGACGCCCCCCTCCGGCAGCCGGTCGGCGCGGCCCAGGAGCAGCCGGTGCCGGAGGAGCACCGGGGGCTGGTGTGGCTGCTGCTGCGGCAGCTGCGGCCGGGCATGGACCTGTCCCGCGTGGCACTGCCCACCTTCGTGCTGGAGCCCCGCTCCTTCCTCTGCAAGCTGTCCGACCACTACGCCCACGCCGACCTGCTGTCCCGGTGAGGGCGCCCCACGGCCCCCACGGCCCGGTCCCCACGGCCCCCACTGCCCGGTCCCCACGGCCCCCACTGCCCGGTCCCCACGGCCCCCACTGCCCGGTCCCCACGGCCCCCACTGCCCAGTCCCCACGGCCCCCACTGCCCGGTCCCCACGGCCCCCACTGCCCGGTCCCCTACTACGCCCACGCCGACCTGCTGTCCCGGTGAGGGCGCCCCCCCACGGCCCGGCCCCCCACTACGCCCTCCGGCCCGGCCGCCCACCCAGGGGTCTGCAGGGTCCCGGGGCGCCTGGCCTCCTCCCACTGCCCTGCCCGCACCCTGTGTACCCGAACCCCGCTCGGCCGGCCCCTGAGCTGAGTGCTGCTGCTGGATACACAGAGGGAGCGGGCGAGGGCGGGAGCATCGGGCGGGAGTGTGGCGCTCGCCGTCCATCCGTCCGTCTGTCCATCTGTCCGTCCGTCTGTCTGTCCAGGGCGGCGCTGGAGGAGGACGCCTACGGCCGCTTCAAGCAGGTGCTGCGCTGGTACCTGTCCGGCTTCTACCAGAAGCCCAAGGTGAGGCCCCCCGGCCGCCCCCGCCTGCCCTGGGCCCACGTCCGTCCCCCCCCCGCCCAGCGCCCCCTCGCGCCCCGCCCCCTCACGCCCCGCCCCCTCACGCCCCGCCGCCCGCAGGGAATCAAGAAGCCGTACAACCCGGTCCTCGGGGAGACCTTCCGCTGCAGCTGGTTCCACCCGCAGACCCGCAGCCTCACCTTCTACATCGCCGAGCAGGCAGGCGCCTGGGGGGCCGGGCCTCTGCCCACTGGGCCTCCTCTCCGCACCCACGCCCCCGAGCATCCGGGCCGGACTCTGGCCCGGCCCCCCGGCCCGGCGCAGGCGTGGGGGTGGCCGGGGGTGGCCGGGGCAGATGGACAGGGGTGGCCGAGGGGGGGTGGCCGGGGGGGGGTGGACAGGGGTGGCCGGGGGGGGGTGGCCGGTGGAGGTGTGGCTGGGGGTGGCTGGAAATGGACAGAGGGGTGGCTGGGGGTGGCCGGGGGTGGCCGGGGAGGGTGGCCGGGGAGGGGGGTGACCGGGGGAGGGTGACCAGGGAGGGTGTTGCCGGGGGTGGCCGGGGGTGGCCGGAAATGGACAGAGGGGTGGATGAGGATGGCCGGGGTGGACGGGCAGGGGAGGCGCTGCCGGCTGTGGGGCTGTCCCGGGAGCCACCGCTGTGCCCACAGGTGTCCCACCACCCGCCCGTGTCCGCCTTCCACGTCAGCAACCGCAAGGACGGCTTCTGCGTCAGCGGCAGCGTCACGGCCAAGTCCCGGTTCTACGGTGAGGCCCGGGGCAGCAGGGCGGGGGGAGGGGGGCAGCGGGGCGAGGAGAGGGGGGCAGCGGGGCGGGGGGAGGGGGGCGGGGGGCGGGGGGCGGGGGCGGGGGGGCGGGGGCAGCGGGGCGGGGGGAGGGGGGCGGGGGGCGGGGGCGGGGGGGCGGGGGCAGCGGGGCGGGGGGAGGGGGGCGGGGGGCGGGGGGCGGGGGCGGGGGGGCGGGGGCAGCGGGGCGGGGGGAGGGGGGCGGGGGGCGGGGGGCGGGGGCGGGGGGGCGGGGGCAGCGGGGCGGGGGGAGGGGGGCAGCGGGGCGGGGGCGGGGGGGCGGGGGGCGGGGGCGGGGGGGCGGGGGCGGGGCGGGGGCGGGGGGGCGGGGGGCGGGGGCGGGGGGGCGGGGGCAGCGGGGTGGGGGGCGGGGGCAGCAGGGCAGGGGGGCGGGGGCAGCGGGGCGGGGGCAGCGGGGCAGGGGGGGCACGGGGGGGGGTGAGCTCCAGGTTCCGGGTCACCGGACCGGACACGCCCAAGCCTCCCTCCCGCCGCTCGGACGCGGGCCGGGGCGGGACAGTCTTCAGAGCCTGAGCGAGGCCGGCCCCCCGCCCCGGGCGCCTGAGGTCCCAGGACGAGGCGGGCGGGCACGGGCCACAGCGCCGTGGGCACGGGGTGGGCGGGCGCGGGGCCCTCCGCTCACCGCCTCTCCGCAGGGAACTCGCTGTCGGCCCTGCTGGACGGCCAGGCCACGCTCACCTTCCTGCGCCGGGCCGAGGACTACACCCTCACCATGCCCTACGCCCACTGCAGAGGTGAGGCCCGCCGCGCGGCCTTTTGGGGTGGCCTGCCAGGTGCTTCCCGCACACTGCGGGGTCAGAGGGACAGGGCAGACTCTCCCCGTCCTTCCTCCCGCTCCGAGCCGTGTCTGCGGCCTTCTCATCGGGGGCGCGTGAACGTGGAAACATTCCGCCCTAAAGGACTGTGAGTGTGCTTGAGCCAGGCTGCCCCAGTCGCCGGGGAGCAGAGCCGTAAGGGGTTGGGATAACACGCCACCTCGTTTCATACATGACATCGAAGAAGGCGTGCAGCCGAAACCGGTGTGGCTCAGTGGACAGAGCGTCGGCCTGCAGAATGAAGGGTCCCGGGTTCGATTCCCGTCAAGGGCATGTACCTTGGTGGCAGGCACATCCCCACTAGGGGGTGTGCAGGAGGCAGCTGGTCGATGTTTCTCTCTCATCGATGTTTCTAACTCTCTCTCCCTCTCCCTTCCTCTCCGTAAAAAATCAATAAAATATATTTTTAAAAATTAAAAAAGGGGGGGGCATGTAGGAGGGTTCCATGAAGCCCGCTGGTGAGAGGTTAGGGAGGCGGGAGAAAGCCAGGGGCACCTCTGGATTGGATAAAAAGTAAATGATGGACACGTGCTTCTTCTATGAGCTGGGTGCGGGACAGTTAGCCGTCCACAGCTAACAGGGCGGCCGTCACTGAAGGAACCCGTGGTCTCGGTCCTGGCGCCCAGGGTGCTCGGCTGTGCCCCGAGGGGTCGGAGAAGGGAAAGCTACAAGTTAGCCTGACAAATTTACAGGGAGGTTATCTCAGACCAAAAAGGCAGATAAGCTCAGCTCTGTGGTGTGGCTCTCCCTCCAGACCCCAAGCCAAACAGCCCAGACCGTCCCCAAGAAGACCCCCAGCAGGGGGCGCTCTGCAAACACAGGGGGTGCGGGGAGAGCGGGCGGAGGGCAGGGGGCGATCTCGGCTGCATTTCAGCTCGGAAGGAGGGAGGGACCCCGCACCTAGGAGGAGGCGCTCGCTAACCTCAGAGCCCGGAGGCCGGGGCTCTCCGTGGGGCAGATGGGGCGCCCAGGAGGCGGCAGGCGGGGCAGGAAGGAGCCGGGGTGGGAGTGAGGCGGTGGGTGTGGCCGCGGCCTGGGCTCCGCAGGGCCGTCACGTCACGGTGGTGTGACCGTGGTCTGTGCTCTGCAGGGTGTGACCCCCTGGAGGGGAGCTGTGGGGTTCGCGGGCTGGGCGAGGGGCCTCTGATGCGGACGGTTTGCTCGATGCCCGGAGCATGGCCCGCTGTGCGGTTCCGGGCCTGCACGTGACGGAGACGTCCCCGGCCCCTCTGACTCTGGACCGGCGCCTCCTGCCGCCACTCGTTCGCACGGCTCTGCGGGCAGAGGGCTCTGATGGGGGGGGGGGGGGCGTCTGAGAGACCGAGGGGCTGCTGTTTGAATGGCCAGGATGCACCTCAGTCACCATCGGGGAGGGGAGGGGGTGCACCTGGTGACCGTGACCTTTAAAGTCACATGCTTTGCCCGGCCGGCGTGGCTCAGGGGGTGAGCTTTGGCCTAGGAACCGGGAGGTCAGGGTTCGATTCCCGGTCAGGGCACAGGCCCAGGTTTCGGGCTCAATCCCCAGCGGGGGCCGTGCAGGAGGCAGCTGACCCGTGATTCTCTGCCATCATTCATTGATGTTCCTGTCTTTCTCTCCCTCGCCCTTCCACTCTGAAATCAATACATATATATATATATATTTTTTAATTGATTTTTTTTACAGAGAGGAAGGGAGAGGGATAGAGAGCTAGAAACATTGATGAGAGAAAAACATCGACCAGCTGCCTCCTCCACACCCCCTACTGGGGATGTGCCCGCAACCAAGGTATAATACACGCCCTTGACCGGAACCGAACCTGGGACCCTTCATTCCACAGGCCGACGCTCTATCCACTGAGCCACACCGATTTTGGCGAGATATATATATATATTTTAAATATTGAAATAGACCATGAATTCACCTGCTTTGTCAGTGCCCGAGTCCTGACCTCTGAATTGTCTTCCCCCACACAGAAATGATTCTTTTTAATATATTTTTATTGATTTCAGAGAGGAAGGGTGAGGGAGGGAGACAGATAGAAACACCGATGATGAGAGAGAATGATGGCTCGGCTGCCTCCTGCACGCCCCTCACTGGGGACGGAGCCCACAACCCGGGCCTGTGCCCAGGACCCTGGAGTCCGCAGGCTGGCGCTCTGTCCACTGAGCCACACCGGCCGGGCCGGAAATGTTTCTTTGGCGACCACCTCGCAGCTGTTCCTCTAAGTCTTACGCCATCCGAGTGGCGGGGCCTGCGGGGGGACCAGCCGTGGCCGGATCTCGGGGTGTCCCTGTCCCTCAGGCGTCCCTCTGGTTATGGGGTGTCCCCACGGCGGTGCTGCTTTGGGCCTCCGGTCGGTGTGGCCTCGGCTCCTAGGAATGGCGCTCTCCGCTTCGTTTTGTGGTAGTTCTGTCCGTGGCACAGTTCCCACGTGGGCACGGCCACCAGGCCTTAGACCTCAGAACTAGGAAACCAGGGATGCTGCTCGCCCAAGGAGCCTGGGCCTCTCGGCCCGCACCCCAGCCGCTCCCCTGGCCCCGGCCCGCCCGCTCCGGCAGGTGCAGGGACCCTCTTTCCCGCCTTGGCTATTGGGGTCCCTGTTCGTATCCCCCTGAAGGGCCCGGGGCGGCCCCAGTCTCAGCGTTTCAGAGTGGAGCTGCGTGTCTCCATCGGGTGCCCGCCGGCCGGGAGGGAGGGCTCATTTCCTCCCGTCCTCCCGCCCGGCCGCCCGGCCTCCCGGCCGCGTGGCGGGGCGGGGCCGCGCTGACCGCTGACCGCTGGCCGCCTGCTTGCAGGGCTCCTGTACGGCACCATGACCATGGAGCTGGGCGGCCGGGTGACCATCGAGTGCAAGAAGAGCAACTTCCAGGCCGAGCTGGAGTTCAAGCTCAAGGTAGCTCGGGCGTCACCCCCCCACCTCTGCCCCGGACGGGCTGGGGGACCCCTCCGCCCTCTGTGCCCCGGACGGGCTGAGGGACCCCTCCGCCCTCTGTGCCCAGAGCTGGTTTCCTGAGCAAGCACACCGGGGGGCAGCCGCCCCGAGGGGAGGCCCTGCCCACAGGCCCTCCTGGGGAGTCCCTGCCCCCTGAGCTCAGACAGAGGCCTTCCGGAGCCCCCATTCCCCGTCCCCCCGGCCGCCTCTAGCTGGGTCCCGTCCAGCTGGGCTCCTGGGCACCCACTAGCAGAGCCAGTCCCAGGGGGGCGCCCACTCCGTGTCCCCGGGAGGGGGGGGGTCGGGGACCGCCCTCACAGACCTGTGTCCCCAGGAGGGAGTCTGGGGGGCCGCCCTCCGGGGTCTGGGGGGCCGCCCTCCGGGGTCGGGGAGCCGCCCTCCGGGGTCTGGGGGGCCGCCCTCCGGGGTCGGGGGCCGCCCTCCGGGGTCGGGGGCCGCCCTCCGGGGTCGGGGGCCGCCCTCCGGGGTCGGGGCCGCCCTCACGGACCCGTGTCCCCAGCCGTTCTTCGGGGGCAGCGCGAGCATCAACCAGGTGGCGGGCAGGATCGTGGCCGGAGACGAGGAGCTGGCGCAGCTGTGGGGGCGCTGGGTGAGCGGCCGCCGGGGAGGGCGGCCCGGGGGGGACAGGGCCGGGGGGGCTCCGGGAGGCCTGCCCGCTGAGCCGGGGGGCGGAGGGGGGGCTCCGGGAGGCCTGCCTGCTGAGCCGGGGGGCGGGGAATGGGGGCTCCGGGAGGCCTGCCCGCTGAGCCGGGGGGTGGAGGGGGGGCTCCGGGAGGCCTGCCCGCTGAGCCGGGGGGCGGGGAATGGGGGCTCCGGGAGGCCTGCCCGCTGAGCCGGGGGGCGGAGGGGGGGCTCCGGGAGGCCTGCCCGCTGAGCCGGGGGGGGAGGGGGGGCGGAGGGGGGGCTCCGGGAGGCCTGCCCGCTGAGCCGGGGGGGACAGGGCCGGGGGGGCTCCGGGAGGCCTGCCCACTGAGCCGGGGGACGGGGAATGGGGGCTCTGGAAGGCCTGCCCACTGAGCTGCCCGCCTCTCCAGGACGGGGAGGTGTTCGTCCGGGAGGGGGGCCGCGGGGGCCCCCAGCTCTTCTGGAGCCCGAGCCCCGAGGTCCGCGCGCAGAGGCTGAGGCTGCGCACGGTGCTGCCCGCCGAGCAGGCCGAGCTGGAGTCCGAGAGGTGAGCCCGGCCCCGGCCCCCGCGGCCCCACCGACCCCCGGCCCCTGACCCCGTGGGCGATCGAGTGGGGCTGTCCTGCGGGAGGGCAGCAGGGGAAGAGCCGGTCTGGGCGTCAGCCTGCGGGGCGGAGGGTGAGCCGGGGGTGAGGGGGTGAGACCCCCGTCTCCTGGGGGAGGCCCGCTTCCTGCTGGGAGCCGGCGCGGCCTCCGGGCCCGCCCTGAACCGCAGTGTCTGTCTTCCGAGCGGGGACCGGCGGGGCGGCGGGGGCACCCAAGGTCACCGCGTCCTTGAAGGGTCCGACCCGCTGAACCCCTGGTTCCTAGGTCGACGCTCATCCGCTGAGCCCCGCCAGCTGCGCTAAGTTTATATAATATTTAATATTTCTTAAAATACGTTTTTATTTATTTCGGAGAGAAAGGGAGAAAGAGACATCCATGACGAGAGAGCATCATGGGTCAGCTGCCTCCTGCACGCCCCCTCCTGGGGATGTGCCCTGACTGGAACCCAAAGGTGACCTCCTGGTTCCTAGGTTGACGCTCACCCCTGAGCCGTCCCAGCTGGGTTGAATCTAATTTTTAAAATGGGGCTTATTGCTGAAGCCGGTGTGGCTCAGTGGATAGGGCGTCGGCCTGCGGACTGAAGGGTCCCAGGTTCGATTCTGGTCAAGGGCATGTACTTGGTTGTGGGCACGTGCCCAGTAGGGGGTGTGCAGGAGGCAGCCGACTGATGTTTCTCTCTTGTTCATGTTTCTAGCTCTCTATCCCTCTCCCTTCCTCTCTGTAAGAAATCATTGAAATATGTATTTTAAAAAATAAATAAAATGGGGCTTATTTTTATAAAAAGGGTCCCGGAGACCCTGCGCCGAGAGGCGGTGAGCGCTGTCACCGGGGCATTAGTCTCCCGCCCATCCTGGGGGGTGGGGCACGGCGGCCAGGCCCCGCTCAGGCCCCCTCCTCCCCCAGGCCGTGGTGGGGTGTCACCGGGCGGGCTGGGGGGGGCATGGCGCCCAGGCCCCGCTCAGCCCCCCTCCCCCCCGCAGGCTGTGGCGGGTGTCACTGGGCGGGCTGGGGGGCATGGCGCCCAGGCCCCGCTCAGCCCCCCTCCCCCCCGCAGGCTGTGGCGGGGTGTCACCGGGGCCATCCGGGCGGGCTGGGGGGCACGGCGCCCAGGCCCCGCTCAGCGCCCTCCCCCCGCAGGCTGTGGCGGGTGTCACTGGGCGGGCTGGGGGGCACGGCGCCCAGGCCCCGCTCAGCGCCCTCCCCCCGCAGGCTGTGGCGGGTGTCACCGGGTGGGCTGGGGGGCACGGCGCCCAGGCCCCGCTCAGCGCCCTCCCCCCGCAGGCTGTGGCGGGTGTCACCGGGGCCATCCAGGCGGGCTGGGGGGGGGCACGGCGCCCAGGCCCCGCTCAGCGCCCTCCCCCCGCAGGCTGTGGCGGGTGTCACCGGGCGGGCTGGGGGGCACGGCGCCCAGGCCCCGCTCAGCGCCCTCCCCCCGCAGGCTGTGGCGGGTGTCACCGGGCGGGCTGGGGGGCACGGCGCCCAGGCCCCGCTCAGCGCCCTCCCCCCGCAGGCTGTGGCGGGTGTCACCGGGCGGGCTGGGGGGCACGGCGCCCAGGCCCCGCTCAGTGCCCCCCCCCCCGCAGGCTGTGGCGGGGTGTCACCAGGGCCATCCGGGCGGGCGACCAGCAGGCGGCCACGCGGGAGAAGCTGGCGCTGGAGGAGGCACAGCGGCAGCGGGCCCGGGAGCGGCAGCAGCGCCCGGGGCCCTGGGCGCCCCGGCTCTTCCGGCTGGACCCCGCCGCCCAGCAGTGGCGCTACCGCTTCGCCGAGTGAGTGCCGGGCGGCCCGGCCTGCGGACCCCGAGGGCTCCTGCCCCCCCGCCCCCGGGAGCGAGGATGGGGGGGCCGTATGGGGCTCCGCTGACCTGTGTGCGGCCCCTGCACACGGCGGCGGCGGCTGGGGCTCTCGGTCGGGGGGCGGTCAGGGGCTGGGGCTCTGGCTGAGGGCGCTGCCCCCGCCCACGGCTCCCTCTGGCCCTGCAGCCTCAGCCCCTGGGAGCCCGGGAAGGACGTGGCCCAGTATGAGCAGGACGGGGCGCTGTGCACCCTGCAGCGGGAGAGCCGGCCCCCCCAGGCCCGTCAGGGGGGCAGCCCAGGGCCCAGGCGCCAGGTCAGCACCCAGGGCCCTGCTGGGGCGTCCTCCACAGCGAGGGGGACAGTCAGGCTGCCCACCGCCCGGCCTCCTCTCTGCCCTGCCCTGCCTCCCTCTCCCCCACCCCCCGAGTGTCCCTGCTGCCAGACCCGAGGCTCCTGGACACTCAGTCCCAGCCCTCAGGTCCCAGGGCCCACTCCCCGGGGGAGGAGGCCGAGGCTGGGACTGGCCGGCGGGAGCAGGCGGCGTGTGCACAGCAGCCGGGCCTGAGGGGCGGCGGCAGGAGGGAGGCGCCGCGGCTGAGCTTTCTGAGGGCCGGCCCAGCGCTGCAGGCCCCCGTGGGGTGCGGTGGGTGTGGGGCGCCCCCGGCCCAGCGCCTCCATCCCCCGCAGAGGCCGGGCCCCGACCGGCGGCTCCGCAAGGCCAGCGACCAGCCCCCCGGCCGCAGCCAGGCCACCGAGAGCAGCTCCACGCCCGAGTCCTGCCCCGAGCTCTCCGACGAGGACGGGCGCTTTGTCCCCGGTGAGTGGGGCCCTCTGGAGGGGTGCAGGTCCTCTGGGGGCCCGTGCCCAGGACGACGCCCCCACAGCCTCAGAGCCTCCCTGAGCCCAGGCCAGACGAGGGAGTGGGCAGGCTCCCCAGTCCTGTGCCCATAGCTAACGGGGGGCGGGGGCAGAGGCAGGGGCTGGGGGCCCTCGCCTGTGGCCCTCTGGTCCCCCTGCCCGTGGCCCCCGGTGTGGTCCCGCCTCCCCCGTGGTGAGCCCCTGGCCTTTCTGTCTCCGGAGCCGCTGAGCCTGGGCCCCCCTGGAGCTCCCTCAGGCCTCTCCCTGCCCCGCCCCCCCGTCCCGTTAGCTCTGTCCCGAGGACTCCCGTGAGGCGGGCAGGGGCTCGCCCTGGGCACCCCCCGGGACCCCCCTTGCTGGCCCTGACATCCCAGCTCACCCTCCTCCCCTCCTGCTGTCCCCTCGGCCTGGTCGGCGTCGGTTTAGGGAGCCCGTGCCCGCGGTGCCGGAAGGAGGCGGGGCGGCTGCAGGCGCTGCAGGAGGCCGTGCTGTCCATCCGAGACGCCCAGCAGGAGCTGCACAGGTCAGAGCGGCGGCCCCGAGGGCGGGGGGCACACGCGGGAGCTGGAACCCGCCGGGGTCTGGGCGGCCGGGGGCACAGGACGCCTGGCTCCTGGCCCTCGGGGGACGGGCCCCGGGGACGCCGGGAGCTGGCCAGTCCGCCCGCCAGAGGCTCCGGGTCAGCCGGCGTCACGTGTCCGGGATCACGTAACCCGGGTCCCGCGCACACGGCTCACACCAGCCTCTCCCGGGCCCCGCGCCCGCCCTGTCCCTCTGGGTGTCCTGGGCTCGCTGTGCGGACAGTCCCCTCGGACGGGGCCCAGGCAGTGACCTCCTCTGACCTTAGTCTCCTAAGGAGGCCCCGTCTGAGGTCACAGGGTCGGGGCTCCAACACGTGACGCTGGGGGGGGCGTCCAGCTCCCTGGCGCGGACCCCGTCCCCTGAGCGCGTGCCTGGGTGCCCGCCCCGACGCCTCCCCTGCAGCGCCCTGAGGGGGGCGCCCTCCAGCGGCCTGGCTGACTCCCGCCCCCCGCCCTGCAGGCACCTCGTGGCCATGCTCAGCGCCTCGGCCAGGGCGCGGCGGGCGGCGGCCCCGGGCCTCCTGCAGAGCCCGCGCGCCTGGGGGCTGCTGTGCGTGCTGCTGGCCTGCCAGCTGCTCCTGGGCCACGTCCTCACGTAAGGCCGCGGCGCCCCCTGCAGGCCCGCCCCGCCCGCCCGCCCAGCACTTCACACCGGAGCTGGAGGATGGCGCCCGCTCGGCCCCGCGGACGGGCTCCGGAGCCGGAGGACGGCTGCAGGGACCTGGCGGCCACCGGGAGCCGCTCGGCCTGGCTGCTCCTGCCCCCCCCCCCCAGTGCCCGCTCCTGGCCCCCCTAGTGCCCGCTCCTGGCCCCACCGCTCGCTCTCGGGGCAGCGGGCGGGCGTGGGGGGCGTGGGGGCCGCCGGGGGTGGGCGGTCCCTCCGCGGGGCTGCAGGGGGGAGGAGCCGCCTCGGCCTGAAGCCCAGGCTGTCCCTCCGGAGACCCTGCCCGTGTCACCTCGAGGGACCTCAGGGGGCCCCCAACTCGGCCATGGGTTTACTCTGCCCGTGTGCTGCTTGGGCAGCCGGTCCTGCAGGCGGGTGGGGACACGGGATCGTGGTTGTGGCTCAGCTGCCCACACGGGGACACGGGACACGGGACACGGAGACACGGGGACACGGGGCTGGCGGGTGCGTGCGCTCCCACGCTGCACTTTTTGCTGTTGTTAATCCTCACATGTTTTTCCAGGATGTTCAGGGAGCGTGGGAGGGCGGGAGAGACCGAGAGAAACATGGATGTGCGAGGGCCCCATCGCCCCGTCCAGGGCTGGGCATGCAGCCCTTGCCCGGAATCGAACCCGGGATCCTTCCGTCCGAGGGCCGACGCTCCGTCCACTGAGCCGCACCGGCCAGGGCGCTACACTCCTCAAACAGACACAGTTGCAGTGTTTCAGGCAGCGTCGGCCTCAGTCCCTGGGTCCGGGGCCGCGTGTGCGTGTGGGAGTGCGTGTGCGTGCCAGGTGGGGCCACGGAGCCTTAGCCTCACGGCCGCGCCCTGAACAGATGGCCTCGTTTTCCAGGTTTTGTATCCACGTTCTTGTTGCGCCCCCTCCCCCCCACTTTGGAGACACGCCTGGGCCCCAGTCCTTGAAATAAAGGAACTCACTCCTCGCGTGGTGTCTTCTCGGGGGTCCCGGGGGGCGGACTCCGTGCCGGCGGGCGCTGGGCAGGGGGGGCAGGGAAGGCACGGAAGCGACAAATGGGAGCCCAGCAGCCGCCAGAGCCGGTGACTAGGGGAGGGCGTCTCACACCCGCTGTGGTCACAGGGTCACAGCAGGGGAGGACGGGGGGGGCGGGGGGCGGGGGGGGGCGGGCAGGCGGCCCATAGGCCTGGGGAGGTGGGGGGCTCAGGCTGATTGACTGGAAAAGGCGGTGCTGGACTGGGAAGTGGGCGGGGCGGGGGGGTTGGAGTCACCGTTTAAAAGCTGGGGAAGCAGGAAGCACCTGGCTCAGAGGAGAGACATGGCCTGGAGGTCTACGGTTCTGTCCCTGCTGCTCCTGCTGCTGCCGCCGCCTCCACAGCTCCTCCTCCTGGGCGCGCCGGTGGGCACTCGGCGGGGCTGGGGAGGTAGACCCACCCGCCGGGAGGGGCGGGGGGCAGCACAGAGTCTGAGATCCAGAGTCTGGGATCCCGGGCTCGGCGCGGGGCGTGTGGGCGGCTGAGGTGAGCACCGGGCAGGCGGTCCCCACGGAGGCCCTGCCCCGCTCTCCGGGGGCTGGATGGGGCCCCGGGCTGGGAGGGTGGGCGGCGGGGAGGACTCTGCCAGGCCGGACTTCCTCCCACCTGCTGTGGGATGTGGAGTTTACGGACCTGGCACGGGAGAGGCAGGGGCACAGGCAGAGGTTTCCGGAAAAGCAGCGCTGCTGGCTCAGGGCACCCTAAGATCCAGATCCCGAACCCCCTTAGGCAGCGAGATGTCCTCCTTGTACACGGAGCGGCCGATGGTCTCTGAACGCATCATCCGGCCGCTCCGTGTCCGTCCTATAGAATAAAAGGCTCATAGTCACATGGTCCCCTCGACCAGGAGTTCGACCAGCAGGCAGGCTGGCCAACCGCCATGTCCCCTCTCCCCTGGCCAGGCTGGCCGGACCCCACCCATGCACGGGTTCATGCACCGGCCCTCTGACACACACACACACACACACTCTGAGTGGCCAGATTATTATGCGTTCAGAGATCATCATCTGGCCGCTCCGTGTATATACCAGAGAAAGGCCCTGTGCATGAAATTCATGTAAGGGGGGGTCCCCCTCAGCCCAGCCTGCACCTTCTAGTCGGGGACCCCTCAGGGGATGTCCGACTACTGGTTTAGACCCGATCGGGCCTGAACTGGCAGGCAGACATCCCACTCACAATCCTGGGCCGCTGGCTCCTAACTGTCCCCCTTTCTCTCCTCCCCCCACCTCCCCGCCAGCTTGGTCACCCCCAACTGCCCCCCTCCCCTGCTGGCCTGGTTGTCCCTCACTGTTCCCCCTCTGCTGATCCAGTCACCCCTCACTGCCCACCCTCTGCCGATCTGGTTGTCCCTCACTGTCCCCTCTGCCAGCCTGGTCGCCCCTCACTGCCGCCCCCACCCCCCCGCAGGCCTGATCACCCCACACAGCCTGCTGTTCAGGCGTTACTGTGAGGGCGTCCTGACCAATTTGCATATTACCCTTTTATTAGCATAGGTTCCCGAGTTTCCTAACTACCGGCCTCTGTAGCGGACTCCACAGCTCCCCTCACCCCCAAAATCAGTTTTATGGTAGCTTAGATGGTATCTTCTTCCACCCTGGATGGCCCTGATGACCTCCCTCCAGCCAGGCTGTTCCGTCCTTGACTTGGGCCCGGCAGCTGGACGCGCTTAGGTAAATAGCTTTCCCAAGACCGGGTCACTGCGAGGGGCAGGACGGCAGGAACGCCCCCGTGAGGGTGCAAGGTCCGGCCGCCGGTGTCCTTGCCCTTCTCAAACGGAGTTAGTCATCGACTCACAAGATTGGGCAACAGAGGCAGGCCCCGGACAGATTCAGATCGCTAGTGGCCAGACACGTCCCCACCCCCTGGGCCTCGAGGCTGGGAGAAGCCATGTAATGGCGTCTCTATTTTCACTTTTTCCTGGAGGCCTGGCACACAGGTTCATGCACAGGTGGGCCCCTCGGCCTGGCCTGCGATTGGGCCGGCAGGGCCCCCTCCCCGTCCCGATCGGGACTGGGCCAGCTGGCTTTGGGGGGAGGGGGGTGTTTGGCTGTGGGAATGCCCTTCCTTCTGCCAGGCTGCTGCCCGGGGCCCCAGGGCTGGTGGGCACCGCCCCCAACCCCCCGCTTTCTCTCCTGCAATCGAGCAGAGGCACACGCGTGTGGCCCTCAACCAAGCGGTCACATCACCGTCGCTGCCCTGCCCCCCAACCTGTCAGCCGCCCCAGCCCCAGCTGCTCTGTCTGCAGGGGTGGCTGGGGCTCAGACCCGCTGAGGGGTTCAGCCTGCTCCTGCTTCTCCCAGGTCAGGCCCCCCGAACCCACCCCCGGCACCCCGCCTGCTCCTGAGAGCTGCTGCCAGAGGCACGGCCACTGGCCAGCTTCTGGGCGTGGCCACCCCAGGTCATGTCTCCGCTGCTGTTGATGCTGTTGTTGCTAAATCCTTCTCACGTGTGAAACCTGTACGTGGGGACGCGTGGGGACACGCGGGGACACGTGGGTACGCGTTCCCCCAGGAGGCGGGACGGGAAGGCCGCGGCCCCACCTGTGGAACCTGTGCACGCGTGAGCCCGGCTCCCGGGCGGTGCTCTGCGTGGGCGGCGTGCTCTGGCCCCGCAGGGGTGACCGGGAGGGACAGGGTGGGGCGAGAACACCACGTAATGAGGTCTCCTCTTTGCAGCTGACCCTGAGCACTTCGAGCAACCTGCCGTCTGAGCCGAGCCCGGGCAGCCGATGTGGGCCCGGCGAGTACCCGTCTGCCCGGCACTGCTGCCAGCGCTGCCCCCCAGGTGAGCGGGGCGGTTCTGCCAGCTGGCCCCGGGCGAGTGCCCGGCGAGCCGCGGCTCTGAGGGCGGCAGGAGGAGGTGGCCTTCCCGGCCGGGCCCGGGCCCCTGGCGGCCAGGACGCCGGCTGCGCCTGGGCCTCAGAGGGGTGTCCTGGGTGGGTCGGGTCCCTGGCGTCCCACCACACAGCTGTCAGGGAGCAGTGCTTCGTCATTTCCACGACCTGGAAACGCGCAGAGACGACTCGAATGCAAACGCCAGGGACGAGATTTGTCTTCTCACCGAGAGGCCGGGCATGGAGGCCGCCAGGGCCGGGCGTGGAGGCCGCACAGGGGGCGCGGTGTGGAGGCTCACAGGGGGGGGCGTGGAGGCGGCACAGGGGGGGCGTGGAGGCTGCCAGGGCCGGGCGTGGAGGCGGCACAGGGGGGGCGTGGAGGCGGCACAGGGGGCGCAGCTGCCTGGCGGGTCTGACCGCACTGGCCTCTTGCTCAGGTTACTACGTGGAGGAGCCATGCAGCAGCCCCCACACCCGGAGCGAGTGTGTGGCGTGTGACGCGGGGACGTACACGGGACACGCCAACGGCCTGCGGTCCTGCCTGCTGTGCGCCACCTGCCGCCACGGTGAGTCCCGGCCCCTGAGTCTTGACCTTGAGCCCGAAGCCCCTTTTTTATTTTAACGTTTATTTTAATATATATTTTTATTGATTTTCCACAGAGAGGAAGGGAGAGAGATAGAGTTAAAAACATCAACCAGCTGCCTCCTGCACCCCTCACATAGGGGATCCAGTCCGCAACCCTGGGCATGCGCCCTTTACCAGGAATCGAACCTGAGACCTTTCAGTCCGCAGGCTGACGCTCTGTCCACTGAGCCAAACCAGCCAGGGCAGGAATATATATATATATTTTAAATATATTTTATTGACTTTTTACAGAGAGGAGGAGAAAGGATAGAGAGCTAGAAAAGTCGATGAGAGAGAATCATCGATCAGCTGCCTCTTGCACACACCCCCCAGGGATGTGCCCGCAACCAAGGTACATGCCCTTAACCGGAATCAAACCTGGGACCTTTCAGTCTGCAGACTGACGCTCTACCACTGAGCCAAACCGGTTGCGGCAAGAATATATATATATTTTAAATTAAAAAT